AAATCTATGAACTCTGTAGTTAACACAGCTAATATTATTCATAACAACTCCAACATTTTCAGTAAAAGTGTGATATTGTCTTTAACATGCCTTAAAGAGTCCGCGGTTGTTAAATGAATCATTTTTGGGAATGTCAAACCTTCACCTAAATATAAATACATAACTAAATATATGCCGTCTTGGATAACAGTTACTGAAATAGTGATGTCAAATAAAAAAAACACAAAAACGATAATTCTATGTAACAAATATTATTGAAATAATATTTTCAAGTTGAATTACTATATCTTTAGAAAAAAATACCCTATAACTCTTATGGTGATATCCGGAAACGCGTTGAAAGCATTTTTTTAAAATTATTTAATAACTCATAAAATACTCGGGTGGACATTCAACGTCACCCAACTTTTTTTCTTTAAGAAAATTAATAATAAATGAGGTTTAAAAAATATTGTCCACCCAAGTTGTGTTTTTATGCAACATGAGTGTCCGTTGGAAAAGTTTTCAGAGTAATAGTTAAAAGCTTATATACAATAGTATATGTAATAATATATTGTATATATACCAGTACAGACATTAATTGAGCATACTTAATCTGTTTAATAAAAAACAAGACCAAATCAGTTTTTTCAATCGAACAGCATAGAAAAGCCACTTAAATGAATAACTTATTCCGTGCACTCAGTTTCTGTGCTAATTGGAAAATGGCCTTATGTTCAGCAGAAATTCACCCGTGTACACATATGTATATGTTTAGTTGAGAGAACTATCATTCCTTTATTAACCACAGCTATTCAATTCAATACTAGAGCACTTACTAATGGCTTGCTGTTGCAGGTATTGCTTGCCTAATTGACCCCAGATGATTTCATTGAACGTGTGCATGCAATATTTATTTAATGGCTTGGTAAAATTTTTTGTCATTAGTGAAGCAACATCCTCGATAGTATAGTGGTTAGTATCCCCGCCTGTCACGCGGGAGACCGGGGTTCAATTCCCCGTCGGGGAGGCAGAAATTTTTTTTTTAATGTTTCTTTTTTTTAATTTTTCTTGTTTTTTTATTTTTTTAATTTTTCCTTTTATTAATTTTTCCTAAAATGCTTTTTTTTTAATTTTTTTTTTTTTATTTTATGTATTATCAAAATAATTTATTGGTAAATAAATTGATATAAATAATATAAGTCTACAAATCACTAATTTTTCAGATGGCAATATTTATATTTTATTCATTCGATATCAAATTAATAAACCAAATCTTAACAAAATTTGATATAACAGGTTTAATGAGTTAACCTACATGATTGAATGATTATAACTGTTGTTCTTGTGTAACACTTTTCGTCTTCTTTCTTAGCATAACATTCCTAAGTGGACCAGAGTTTTCTTAATCAATTTTTACCATCTTATACGATACAATGTGAAGTTTTTCCAATCACTCACGCGTATCTTCATTAAATCTTCTTCAGCATCAGCTAGCCACCTCTTTATAGGTATGTCTCTTCTTGGGTTTATACGCTGAACGTGTTCTAGCCATCTTAATCGTTGTGATATGTACTCTCAGTACCAGTCGTATTCACCAGTTATCCTCTTTTTTGCTGACGTTTCCTGACTGCTGCTGCCTTAATATTATGCCAAGGCGTTGTTATTGGGTTGCAGTGATTATTGTGCAGTTTTTGCGCTATTGTACTTTTGTATTATTCTCTGCACCTTTCGTTGGCAAGCTTTTTGATATTCCATTTTTGTTTTCTATAGCGATTTCGTTAGTTGACGAGTGATAAGCGATGTATAAAGTGTCCAATTATCAGAAAGCGATCCAAGTCACGATCGACACTTTTGTAGCAGCGTACATCTATTATAGATGACATATGTCTTTTGTCTATTAACACATGATCTATCTGATTTGCACGTCGGTCCATGTTTTCTTATGAATTTGGTTGTTAGTTTCAAAAATATCATTAAATTTATTTGTCCTTACAAATGGTTGTGAATTAAAGTAACAAATATAATATAAAATATGCTTGCATCACGGAGTATAATGTGTTACCTAATGTCTACTACCAGAAATCTACCTAAACTATATTTTGGGAGAGATTTTTACTTATTATTATTAAGTCAACATTATTAAGTTAACATGCCATATTCCATTAATTTAAGTGATTTCAAGTTTCCTGGTTTATCTTCAAAGTGGAACAAATTATTATATATATTTTACCCAACCGTTGAAGTGAAAAGTATGGCTTAATAAATATCAGGTATTTGCATAAGTTTTTTTCGGATTTAACTAAGAGATGGCGCTAGAAAAGAGTACGCAGTGTATTAAGCTAAGGTAAGTAAATTGACCGCCGGAATAATAAATTCCAACGGGCAACTATAGATGACATGTGTTAACTTTATATGACAAACACACACGTAAAATACCCTATTAATTCATTTTCTTTCCGTTGAAATACAACGTTCTATAAAATTGTTGTACATACCCAGTAATATCGGTGTCAAACTAAAAGTCTTACTTTTGTTTAGAAGTAAAATATTGAATTTATTAACGAGAAAAGAGACGAACAATAGGTGTATTCTTTTGATATGAATGTTCCAATAGAACAAGTATTGCTAAGAATTAATATGCAAAGCAAAAACAAAATTTACAAAATATTTTAAAAGATATTTATTAAAATATTTTAAATATTTTAAAAGAGAAATTTTTTTAATAAAATTTGTGAATAATTGATATTCCGAAGAAATTTGTGTTTTCAGAGACTTCCTACAAGTCTTCCATAACAAGAACTTATAGAGTGAGGTTTCCAGATAAATAAAAACAACCATATTTTTAAATCATTAATAATTTACTATGTAAGATACAGTTCAATATTAAGTTTAGTGTAAAATATATTTTTTTGGTAATGTTTTTGCAGTATATTATCTGTAGATTATATTATCGAGTGGGTATATATCGCTTAATTCATTCCCCTCCGCCTGAAGTCTTAAGTCAAATCTAATATCTTATTCTGATAATGAAAATAATGAAAAATTATGAAAAATTTTTTATATATTCATAACACTCTCATAAACACACATAAATGAAAATATTTCTATTTCATTCACCAAAAATAATATACTCACTTTGTAAAGCATCACTTTTTATATATCGTGGGAAAATCACACTTTCAAAATATTTTTTAATATTTGCAAAATGGTAATTTAAAAAATATTATTTCTATATTTTATTCTATAAAATAAATAAAAAAAAAAACTACTCCCCGACGGGGAATTGAACCCCGGTCTCCCGCGTGACAGGCGGGGATACTAACCACTATACTATCGAGGACGATGTGGTACAAGCAGCTAATTAAATATATATTGACACTGTTTAGTTGTTTACTCATTTGTATACAGGGTTCATTTTTTAATTTTATTTTACAATTTCATATTCTAACAGCTTCTTCTTCTTCTTCTTCTTCTTCTTCTTGAGTTAGTGCTATTACGCACTTTTACTCTATAATGACTGGGGGGTTAATCACTACCCCACACTAGGCTTTAACTAGGCAAAAAATCATATCATTTATTTGTCTTTTAGTTGATGACGGACCTTAAATCAGCATATCTTCCTGAGAGTCCAGAAGTGGACTTGAGGATTGTTATGGCGGGGTTAAGTAGCTAAATAACTAAAGATATTTATACATTAATATATATTTTCAAATTAATTTTATTTGTATTTTGTATTTTTATATTATACCTAGTCAATATATATATATATATGTTAAATAATGCAAATGTTATAAATAATGATATTGATATGGCAATAATAGGTCCGTTCCACGAGCTTGTGGTATACACAAGTGCGTTCCACTAGCAAATTTTCGAGTAAATGAGAGCATCTAAGAGAGCGTAACATACCGGCCGAAATTTGAAAATGATACACAGACTTTACTAGTACATATTATTGTTTTGGTTTGAATTTAAATTTTTATATTATTTATTTGCTCCCACTGGTGTTCTCACCAGATTTTACACAAAGCTGCTCCATGAAAATCTGTGTAAAGAGCGAAATTTTGCACTTTATTTATGTTACGCTAACAATTTATTATTTTACTTGTGTTTTACTTGAGTTTTACTACAAGTAGCTCGTGGAACAACCTTAATATGAAGACTTTAGTTTCGACTGTGAATTCAACATCAAATCATTTGAATCGAAATATATATAAATAAGTTCAACACATAAAATTATTTTTTATGGCAGGGTTTTTATTTTATCTGCAACGTAGATGAAAAAAAAATAATATTTTTAACTAAAACGTGTTATTAATAATAAAAAAATTATATAAAACGTTGTACATAACACAATACTTTAAAACTTATTCAGTATAAAATTGAATACTTTAAAATTAGCATTACTCTTTAATATATTTAAGAACAAACTTACAAATAAAAATTTGCTAAATATATATTTCCAAAACCAAAAATTTTCAAAACAAAAATAAATAAATTTTTGATAAAAATAAATGTTTTTTTAACTAACGTGTATTTATAAAAAATTTTTGTTTTATTTTATATATATGTTTATATACACTATGTATTAAAAAAATTTCACCAAAAAAACAAAATTTCTTTTAAGAACGTTTCATCTTAAAACCTTTTTGTATAAACACACGTTCTTAAAGAATAAAATTTTAGTTACATTTAGCACATATACCAACTTTTGCAAGGATTAGTAATTAAGTGAATAGAAAATATTAGCATTTTTATTTGGATATAAGTTTAAAATGAATTTAAGAGACAAAATGCTTACACATATAAGTAATAAAAAGATTTTTTATGAATATACTCGTGGTAGTTAATTCCTTAATGGACAAATAAAAGTAGTATGTAACAAACAAACTATCAAACAGAATCAAATAAATCATTAAAGCATTATATTATCTAGTTTTTGTATATTTAATAACATTGAATTGTTATTCACCAAATAAAATGATAATGATAATTTGTTCGTAAATCTGGGCATAATATGCCATGAAATACATTGCCCAGTTGACATCTAGCACAGTTTCTGAACATATTACTGTATCATTTTTAACCACTGTCAACTTGATGTTTTACCGAAACTACAATAGTAAATAGTAACAAAATTTAAGTGTTCGGATTTGGTATGATGTGCGATATGAATTATTCTAAATTCAGTGATTTAATAGCAAAATTGGAAGTGGATGAAGCAGAGGTCAGTAAACGCTCCTAATTTTCAATATTGGTTGTAATTAATACATACGTTTTCTCTATAGAATCCAGATTTTGATGTCGGCCTTTACATACGACTGATGGCATTGTACATGTACGAGGATAACTTGTAAGTGAATCTTAACTAATATACAGAAAAATCAATTGCCTTAATTTTTCTTTTTGTTTTACACAAGGCATGCTGCAAATTTTCTTTGGAAACGTATTCCAGAACCAATCAAAGAAAATGAAGATTTGCAGCGTACTTATCTCATGTTAGTGAGCCTTCTTAGTGGTAATACAGGTGAATTTTTTAAAACTGTAACACATGCTTGGACACCTGATTTAGCGAATATCATGGAAGATTTGTTAAGTAGGTAGATAACTACGTAAAAGCCTCTAATACAACTTAGCCTATTAATTTTCAGTTAAAAAGCGAGAAAATGTTTTTAAATTGATTTCACGCTCCTATAATGGAATTTACGAACAAAATTTAATGGAACTTGTACAAATGCCACGTGATAGACTGAACGAAACCTGCAATGCACTTGGTTGGGTATATGAAAGAGAAGGGCAACAGTTTATCATACGGCCAAAAGTAATGCCCAGTGTCCACACCGATTATAGCGATACATATGATCGTTTCTATTATCTCACAGAATTTGTTTCATATTTAGAAAATTAAGATCATTTTTATAAGTTTGAAATGCTAAAGTAAATGTTTGTTTATATATAATATTTTATTTTAAAACTACTTAATATGTTTTTTGTTCTAATAACAATTAAATTTAGAGTACATTTTAATTATATCAATTACCAGAAAAATGTTCGAGGAAAATGTTTAGCAATATGTGCCATAACAGTAATAACGTATACATTCTCGCAAGCAAAAAACTATCTTCATTAAGTTAATAGACGCTGGCAAACTTTCGTGACTTGGAGTCTCCTGGATAAAAGCTTCTCAAGCAATTCCCGCATTACAGGCTGGGGCTCCTCAAATCGAACCTCGCAAATATCGCTGTAAATAGTATTCAACGAAAAAACATTTGAACACATATTGCGATTGCCTAGATTTATTTAAATTCAAGCACATATTTGTGCTATTTCCCGTTTTCTATCACAACATACAGTGAACTAGTCAACATTTTTTACAGATTTGTGTGCATATTCCACTAAAGTAGGTTTTTAATGTTGTTGGAAGTGGCCAAAAAAAACCTAATTGCTGTTTAGGTTTATCTCTGCAGAACTAAATAAAAAAAAGAATTGGAAATAAACGGTTCCTATGAAAAAATCAGAAGGAAATGTACTGATGTTATTGCTATTTCTTGACGTAAAGGCATGGTTATTTAAAATCATAAACATCAGTGCATTTTCTTTAATTTTTTCGTTTAAACCGTTATTTTTCCAATTTTGTTTTATTATTTGGTTCCGCATAGATAAAGCCAACAAAAACTTTTTTGGTAACTTACTTTCAACAACAACAAAAGTTCGCTTTACTGGAATATGTACCAAAAAAAGGTTGTTATGTAAATAATTTTGATTAGGACTGTAAGTAATTTTGAAATAAGTCAACCATATTCATAAATTTGCAAGGAATGTAGAAATAAAAAGGTTTTTAAACTAAACAGACTCATCACAGATTTATTTTAATTCCACTTCCGCTAAATTAAATAATGATTGATATGAAAAATAGTAAGCCAAATATTATATTTATATATTATTTACTTAATTATGTTGAAACAATGAATTGAAACAATAAAATTAAAGTCACTCTCATATTATTATCCGTCTGTCTGTCCTTAAGATAGTATAAAATTTAATTATTTTGTAAATCAAAAAATAAATCATTTATAATTGTAAGTACAACTAAAAATTTCTGGGTAAATTAATAATTAATGAAAATATTGAACATTATATTATTTAACTATTAATGAAAAATAGTTTTTTGATTATAATTATTAAAGATCTAAATTAAAATTGGCCAACCCTGTTTTCAAAAGGCATTGATATTTCATTCCAGCGGGAACGTGTTTTGCTTAAAAATTATAAAAATAAATATATTAAATTTTTATATTTAAAAATTGTATATGCTTTTCAGCATATTTAAAAACAATAGCAGGATGTTTATGGTGCTATTGTTAACAAAAATATATATTGTTATATATTAAAAAATTAATGCGACATCCCTGTTAAAATTAAATTAACTTCTGTCAATAACTTGACGGCTGTCAAAATTGACAAAATGTACGAAAGCTTCTATTCTATTCTTTACATTAGTTGCTGTTTACTAATTCAGCAACATATTTATATGCAATATTCTAATATGCTTTTTAATATTATTTTACTTTATTTATTTTAACCAATTTCATTTTCAATTAAAATATGTAAATGTAAAGTTTAGGCAATTTGAAATGCATAACCGTAATTTTAAATTTCAACGCACGTTTATACTCTCAGTTAACACATTACCTATCATATGTTTGCGATTATTATGATAAAACTAGTATTTCCGACTAATTGCGTTCAATAGTAAAATAAAAAAAAGTAAAACAAAAATAACTCATTTAGTGGAGTTTAATTTAATTATATATTAGATTTGTTGAAATAGTTTTTTAATAAAAAAATTGCTGATATTAATTATAGTAAAAATAAAAACCCCTCCTTGAGAAAATAAATGATACAGAAATGTTTAAATTGAAAATTATTTTCGAATTTAATTTTATCATGTTCTCAAAAATATATAAAACTAATATCAACTACTTTCCCTTTTTACAATGTTAATGTTCGCAAATTTTACAAAAACAATTATCACCATTATTTTATTTCGCTTCTTATCAATAGCCATAGTGAAATCTTAGTTATAGCTATTTCTACTGATTGAGGTCTACTTATTATTAATTGGTAAACATGGTATAAAGTAATATAAGAGCCTATATGTTTATTATAATATGTCATATTTATTGATTTACTCGAAATGTATATAAAAATAAATTAAAAATACTTAATTACCTCAATCTATTCTAAATCTGCCTTTTTAAGTAAAACAATAAATTATGTATTTGTATTCATTAACAATGTTTTTATAAGTATTTAATATATAGAAGCAGTTGTACCAATAGAAAAACACGTAGTATTTCATATTTAATTTTTTTTTTTCTTTGTATGCATTACATTTATGAATTGAAGAAAAAAACATTTTAATATATATGCATATACTTTTTAATCTATGAGATAACATCTTTATCATTTTAACAGCTGTTTTGAAAAATACAGATTGCTAGCACAAATCATAATACTAATTTAAATATAAGAATATTAAGTTCCACGCTTTGTGTTTTTACTTTGTACACGTATATATGCAAGAATGAGAGAAACAATCGATTATATAGAAGTATAACGCACGATATACATACTCGGATATAAATGATAAATTTATTATAAACAAATATGTATGTAACTCAGGATCATGACACAATATGTCAAAAATGAAATTTTAATTTAAGTATTTTAATATTTTAATTTAATATTGTTTCGTATACATATTTTATAATATATAAAAAATATCTATACATAGATATAAATACATCAAATTAATAAAATTTTATTGCCATTAATGGGCTTGAGTGATTTTATAGTGTTCATATATAAATTTTTATTTAAAATTTAAAAGTAAAGAAACGTGATCGTTAAACTAAAAAATTGAGTTTTGCGAATCAATATAGTGCGGTCAATATCTAATTCTTGTGAAATTAAAATTGAATGTGTATACACTACATGAATCAGCATATATACACAATATATAAACAATTTTTGAGGCAAGTATTTGTTTTCTTGGTAAAGCAACCCTGTTTAATATTGTCTACACAAACAATCACATGCACAACATTCCGAACACATTTTTCTTACCGAAGGCAACTCTTCGTTTTTATTAATACACAGTTGTGTCATTTGCAGAAAATTTAAGATTTTTTACATTTATACTTGATAGAATTTATATATTGTTTTACAAAAATTGTGTATTTATTCTTGAATAAAAGTGCTAACTTAAAATTGAGAATTGAATTCTTAAGCTGAAAGCAGACGTAGAGTATTAAGTTTTGGAGTGTGTCGCAGAACCAAAAAAAGAAAAATTACATTCAGATTTTAAAGAAAAATGGCAGCGAGTGACAAGTCCGTTGATGATTCCTTGTACCCGATTGCCGTATTAATCGATGAGTTGAAAAATGAGGATGTCCAGGTAAATAATATTCCACACCATTCAAAATTATATGTAATGTGAACGCTTCTGACTGAAAATATGACGCATTTCAACATTCGTCATATTTGTAATTTCACAAATAAACATTTGTGATATTTTAATTAATATAAACGTTACAAGCTCCCACATGAAAATATTTTTTTATTATTATACTTTTTATATTAAATCGTATTAATCAGAATAACAAAACAAAATAAGTTTTATTTTGTTATTTTAATGCATTTGTACCGTAGAAATTGTGTGTAAATACTGATGCATTTTTTACCGGAACAAGTTTTTGTACAAACGCAAGCACACTTGAAAATATGTTTTGTGTGCTTATATATTAAATAAATATGTTTAGGTCTTTTTGAGTTATTTATTTATTTTTCTTCATGAAACTTAAGGTCTATATATACTTATCATATGTACTTCCACAATAATTAGTTATATATTATAGTGATATGAAATAATTGTTTATAAATTAATTTTATTAATAAATATTGTATATGTAAACTTTACTATTATCAATAATTGTTTACAGTGTATAGAATCATGTATAGCTTGTAAAGAAGACTTTGCATGTAAACTAAAAATAGTAATGTTAATAGTTATAGATCAATAGTCTAAAAAATACAAATTATTAATATTTTCCACAACATATAGTTGTTATATATAATTAGCTTTTTTTAATCTCATCTTAAGCTCTTATGCTAAAATATACATAGATTGTTTATTAAATTGATAAACCTATCGTAGTTATTAACGTACTAACATTAATGTATCGGTATGTTTATTTCTTGTAAAAAGTAATAATGAATTAAATTTAAGTTAAAACAGTTAGTAAAGTATCCAAATACTCGAAACAATTTATATAACAAATCAATTGCAAAACTAAAGTATGCCATTTCTCTAACTGTCCTGTCAGATACAACCAGTTGCTATCTATCTGTTATACATATAAATATAGTGTATGAATTATTAATAGAAATCAAACATGATTTAGCGAATATTTAATGTGCATATCTATCAGTTGTTGTTGTTATAGTCCGTGTAGTTCTCTTGTTAATGAAAAACTCTTTTTGATTTACTTTCCAGTAGGACTACACTGGAAATTGTGAGCGAAACTTATTCGACGATAATAAGTGGTTCGTAAACCTATTCGGTCCTGAAACCAAGTTATAGTTTGTTTCAAAAGATATTACCAAACGAATCAATTACGAATTAGTTCTAGCCATTTGTTTTTATTATATTCGCTTCATGAAATTAAATTAAATATGACTACGTTATGTATAAGTTTTAATAAGAGAAATGTTAATGTAATAGCTGTTATATGAAAAATATAATATTAATATTTTTGTAACTTTTTCTATGAACTTTTAAAGTACTTAAAATTATTTTTATTGTTATTAATACTTGTTCATAGTTCACATTTTATAATAATAGAAAATTAATTATTACTCTATTTTACAGATTTGATTTCTAATTCTTATTATAATTGACTCTATTTCTGGTTACACATCTTAGCTGCTTAATATACTAGTTTTATAGGCATAAACTTACATCAGGCAATCGTTAGATGCCATCCTCTACCTTCACAATATATGTTTCCTTCTAACAGAACGTAAATAATTTCATTTACAGGTTCTCTTATTAGTCTATACGAAAGATATCATATATAATGAATGTAAATGCTGGTTGCGTTTAGTCATTAACTCTTATATGGGATTATCACGAGTCTTCATATTCACCATATATTGGATATTCACTTTGATGTTATTCGTCTTTTTGGATAACATTCTTATTTATTTATTTATCTATTTGCTTTTAACACTTATGCGATTATTGCAATGCTTATTCTATATCTCTCTTACATTAACTTCAGTGGTCGAGGTCTAAAGACCACTAAAGTTTGTGTTTTATATTTTTGATCGGCACTTACAGTCTAAAATTGCATACGTATTATTAAAACCAATGAATATATCCAAAGGCGATTGCTAGTGGATGTTTGTTAATATCAGTGAAAGTAATACTGTTAAGTCTATAAAAAAAATTAATTAAATTCAAAATTAATTTTGTATTTCGAAATAGATTCTTTATGTCATGAACATACAAATACTAATTTCATCTTTATTTCGGAAGAATTTGCTGAGGCCTTGAAAATAGGCTTAGTGATAGAACTATATTTCGTTAATGGTTATTTAAAGTACTAATAAAAATTTCTTAATACGTTTAATTTATATTTGAACAGACTTCAGAATTCCCAAAGCGTTGCTGTTTTTGCTAGCAGTTTTCTCATAATCAAATATTCATATGAAATGCCACACATTCATTTAATATTTTTACGAATTTAGCTTTTTCTTGCAACTTTCAATTATGGCTATTTAATAAAATTGTCGATTTTTTTTCATATGTACCAGAGTAACAACGTCATTTGGGCGTCTAGAGCATTAAGTACAATCAATGTTTGCACGAGAGTACTTTAATTCAGCACTCTAATAACAGATCACTAATTTTCGTGTTTCGAAATTCTCATACAAATGACTAAGCTTTTGCAGAACCAATTTTCAAACGATTTTTTAAGTATTGGTAATGCGGAAAACATAATCAATATATCAGACTAAAATCTTCGTTGCTAAGATATTGTATAAAAACCAGCAGTTGCAATTATCCATTATTGCTATGTTAACCCTCGAAGATATATATAGCATGAAAAGAATTACAAATATGTATAGATAGGTTAGAATATATGCTTAGCTAAGAATGTGCAAAATCTGTGGGATTTTTATTGATGTTAACCAGTGTTAAAACAGAGAGACATAGCCATTTCTGGCTCTTCCAGTCGTACTCGCCTTTTAAAGCGATCAACTGAAAATCAACCCTTCTAATCGATTTCCAAAGAAAATTTGTTTGTTTAAATATTATTAAAAAACAAAACACAAATTAGAGAGATAAAAAAAAAGTGTTATTATAATTGATTTAAAAATAAATTTTACTGCTCCATAAAAGCAAATATTTTTCAATTAAAAAAAGATTAAATTCTAATTTATCAATATGGAATTTATATCATTTTCATTTTGCATGCCTAACGAAAATAAAATCATTGCAATTAAATGAAGTATTTTCAATCACTTTTTATTAATATATTTGTTTTTATTATTATCTGAAAGAGTTTATTCCATTTTGGTGGTTTACTCCTCTTGAAAGAAAGAACAAATCTTGGCTGATGTTAATTATCTGACGAAGATAAAAGAATTCTTATTTTATTAATTTACTTAAAATCTATAGTTTCTGATACTATATGATGATGTTTGCATATACTTTGTAACTTATATAATGGTATAGATCTTCTTGCATTCTCACGACACAATAACAAAACATCCTACAAACTATAGTTCCAATTTTGCAAACTTTTTTGGATAATATTTAAAGAAGATTTATTTATAAAAATTTTTTTAATATTTATTTTCAAAGTTAGAATCATTGCTCGCATAGACCAAATCACTTCAAACACTTCAACGAAAAATGTTCTTTTAACAATAAATCGCAACAACTAGAAGGTCTAGCCACAGATCATATTTTGGAGTCAATATTTTAATCGACCACTGGTTTTAATAATTCGTTGATTTCTTTAACAATATAAAATGCAGCATAGTATTGTTAAGAGTATTTTCTTCCATACATAAATAAACTATAAATTGCTCTTGGTGGCTCTATTCGGGATGGTAGAATAGACGGAAAAATAGATAAAAATCTTGCAACATATATATTATTGCTTTATACACTCCCGAAAAAACTAACTATATACACATATAGCTAAGTGTAATATTGCATGTTTATTGTATTCTTTATTGTATATCAATTAAATAATTAATTAAAGTTTTTTGTAATTAATGTTGCCAACAAAAAGGCAAAAAAAACTTTTTCTATTTATTTCGTAAACAATTTTATTCCAAAGATTTTGGATCTTATGAAACCAATCGTTTAATGAGACTTTATATGTGAGATATCTGAATGTCATTAAAATATTTGGCTAATACATTTGCCTGAATTAAAATGTTGCCAAATTTTTTTTATATTGATTCTATGGCAAGTTGCAAATGTGCAAATTAATGAATGAAATAATGGCAACGGTGAATGAAAGCCATATCCCAAAGCATTTATGTTGCTAAACATTTTATGTTGCTGAACTTTTAAAGTTGTTGATCGTTTTGTGTTGCTGCACTTTTTATGCTGTACTGTTAATTCATTTTATTACATTAATTTGTTTGTTAACAAGTACTTTAAAAATATATGAAATTTTAAATTAATCTATTGTATTAAACCAAACGGAATTTGTTTGTTTGTTTGACTTTAAAAGCATTTCAGCAGTTTCATGTGAAGTAGAGTTTTAGTTGGGACAAATATTGGGAATGGACTTATAAATGCATCTTATGGACTTATATATGAGAAGCAGGTGTGACTTTCAGTCACATTCTCTGTGAGGTCACTAGGAGGAGAGTTACTCTCCCCTTCTGACATTAGGAGGTCCTCAACGGACGACATTCTGACCTTCATTCGGAAAGCGGAATGTCTTCTGTTCGGTACGGGTCAGTTGTAGCACAAAATATCAATTTGGTCGCAGTGCTCTGCTCCGTTGGGAGCTAGTATCCTGTTTATTCTTATTATTATTATTATATATGCGTCACAAAGAACTGGTTAGCGTGTGACTATATCCTGTGTAAAAAATATCCTGTGTGAATGATTAAAAATAAATTAAAAATTAGAATATGTTTAAAATTTAAATATCTATATGTCTAATACATATTTCTTTTCAAATAGGAGGTTCATAAATTCAATAAATATATTATTTATTACGTAAACAAAAAATTCCATTTAAGTAAATAACACGAATATAATTTCTATTTTGCTTCATGTATTTTTTATATAAATCGATTTATGTATAGGTATATATAAAATCGATATTATCATTAAATTTATTTATAAACATTTATGTAAGA